GCTAATATAGATATAAAATCGATATTTTTTTTTTTGAAAATAGCCTACTTTGATCGAATCCAAAAATGCTTTAAATTGCATTTTAGAACACTTCTAGGTATTATAAATAATAAAGAATAGATATAAAATCGATATTTTTTTGAAAATAGCCTACTATGATCAAAACCAAAAATGCTTTAAATTGCATTTTAAAACATATCTAGGTATTATAAATGATAAAGAATGCTAATATAGATATAAAATCGATATTTTTTTTTAAATAGCCTACTATGATCGAAACCAAAAAAGCTTTAAATTGCATTTTAAAACATATCTAGGTATTATAAATGATAAAGAATGCTAATATAGATATAAAATCGATATTTTTTTTTGAAAATAGCTTACTTTGATCGAATCCAAAAATGCTTCAAATTGCATTTTAAAACATTTCTAGGTATTATAAATAATAAAGAATAGATATAAAATCGATATTTTTTTGAAAATTGCCTACTATGATCAAAACCAAAAATGCTTTAAATTGCATTTTAAAACATATCTTGGTATTATAAATGATAAATAATGCTAAATATAGATATAAAATCGATATTTTTTTGAAAAAAACCTACTATGATCAAAACCAAAAATGCTTTAAATTGCATTTTAAAACATATCTAGGTATTATAAATGATAAAGAATGCTAATATAGATATAAAATCAATATTTTTTCGAAAAAAACCTACTATGATCAAAACCAAAAATGCTTTAAATTGCATTTTAAAACATTTCTAGGTATTATAAATAATAAAGAATAGATATAAAATCGATATTTTTTTGAAAATTGCCTACTATGATCATAACCAAAAATGCTTTAAATTGCATTTTAAAACATATCTAGGTATTATAAATGATAAAGAATGCTAATATAGATATAAAATCGATATTTTTTTTTTTAAATAGCCTACTATGATCGAAACCAAAAATGCTTTAAATTGCATTTTAAAACATATCTAGGTATTTGAAATAATAAATAATAGATATAAAATCGATATTTTTTTTGAAAATAGCCTACTATGATCAAAACCAAAAATGCTTTAAATTGCATTTTAAAACATATCTTGGTATTATAAATGATAAAGAATGCTAATAAAGATATAAAATCGATATTTTTTTTTTAAATAGCCTACTATGATCGAAACCAAAAATGCTTTAAATTGCATTTTAAAACATATCTAGGTATTTGAAATAATAAATAATAGATATAAAATCGATATTTTTTTTGAAAATAGCCTACTATGATCAAAACCAAAAATGCTTTAAATTGCATTTTAAAACATATCTTGGTATTATAAATGATAAAGAATGCTAATAAAGATATAAAATCGATATTTTTTTTTAAATATCCTACTATGATCGAAACCAAAAATGCTTTAAATTGCATTTTAAAACATATCTAGGTATTTGAAATAATAAATAATAGATATAAAATCGATATTTTTTTGAAAATAGCCTACTATGATCAAAACCAAAAATGCTTTAAATTGCATTTTAAAACATATCTTGGTATTATAAATGATAAAGAATGCTAATATAGATATAAAATCGATATTTTTTTTTAAATAGCCTACTATGATCGAAACCAAAAATGCTTTAAATTGCATTTTAAAACATATCTAGGTATTTGAAATAATAAATAATAGATATAAAATCGATATTTTTTTTTAAATAGCCTACTATGATCAAAACCAAATATGCTTTAAATTGCATATTAAAACATATCTAGGTATTATAAATGATAAAGAATGCTAATATAGATATAAAATCGATTTTTTTTTTGAAAATAGCCTACTTTGATCGAAACCAAAATTGCTTTAAATTGCATTTTAAAACATATCTAGGTATTATAAATAATAAAGAATAGATATAAAATCGATATTTTTTTGAAAATAGCCTACTATGATCGAAACCAAAAATGCTTTAAATTGCATATTAAAACATATCTAGGTATTATAAATGATAAATAATGCTAATATAGATATAAAATCGATATTTTTTTTGAAAATAGCCTACTTTGATCGAAACCAAAATTGCTTTAAATTGCATTTTAAAACATATCTAGGTATTATAAATAATAAAGAATAGATATAAAATCGATATTTTTTTGAAAATAGCCTACTATGATCAAAACCAAAAATGCTTTAAATTGCATATTAAAACATATCTAGGTATTATAAATAATAAAGAATAGATATAAAATCGATATTTTTTTTTTAAAATAGCCTACTATGATCGAAACCAAAAATGCTTTAAATTGCATTTTAAAACATATCTAGGTATTTTAAATAATAAAGAATAGATATAAAATCGATATTTTTTTTTTTTGAAAATAGCCTACTATGATCGAAACCAAAAATGCTTTAAATTGCATTTTAAAACATATCTAGGTATTTTAAATAATAAAGAATAGACATAAAATCGATATTTTTTTTTGAAAATAGCCTACTTTAATCGAAACCAAAAATGCTTTAAATTGCATTTTAAAACATATCTAGGTATTATAAATGATAAGGAATGCTAATATAGATATAAAATCGATATTTTTTTGAAAATAGCCTACTATGATCGAAACCAAAAATGCTTTAAATTGCATTTTAATACATATCTAGGTATTATAAATGATAAAGAATGCAAATATAGATATAAAATCGATATTTTTTTTTGAAAATAGACTACTATTAGGGATTTCAATACCGGACCAAAGTTTTAATCCCGGGATTATGGTATTGGAAATTGTTGAACCCGGGATCCCGGGTTCAAACCCGGGTCTAGATTTGGTTCAGAAAATGTTATAAAATTGCGTTCAAAATCAAAGCTTTCAATTACAGTTTTTTGTATTTATCATTAAAAAAATTTTTAAGTTGAAAAAAAAGCCAGAAAGTTAAAGTTTTTCCAGATAAATCAACATTTCCTTTTCTTGTCTTGTCTGAACTTTACAATGAAAGGTTTTTTTGATTTTTATGAAGATTATCTTTAAATTTTTTATATCAAAAAGGATTTAAAATTTTCCGTAAAAATTTAATTTTTTTTTGTCGAGCTATTATGACTTTTCTTTTGTAAAAACTTTTAAAACTTTTGTTTTATAAAAATTTAATAACTATAATTTTTCTAATTCAAATAATAGATTTTATCGCAGCATTATTAGAGACACATTCGAATGATCATAAAATCTATTTAAAATTCAAAATTTTTCAAATTTTTTGAAATTGCAATGGGCATGTCTCCAGACTTTTTTCAACACTTTGAAAAGAAAACTAGGTTAAAAGAAAATGAATCACTTTTTGATAATTTCTTCTTTAATATTCTTTAAATTGTAGCATTAACATCTGAATGAACCTTTATCCTTGGGTTACAATGTAAGTATCAAATTCCTATCAAGACAAAACAATTATGTGAATTATGTATACCTTACAAGACTTTACTTTCCTTTATCCATTCTTCACATCTTTAGTTGGAAATATATTTTCAATTTGACTTATTATGCATATCAATAAGATTACATTAAGAAGAATAGATATCAATTCATGTGTAGCATTAACTTACCTTCGTAAAATTGAATTAATTCAGATCACATTTAAATTTATGTAGATGCTGTCATGATTTCTCATTATGAATAAATATGAGAAGAACTAGAAGAGATTGATATCTTAATACTTAATGTCTCAAAACATCTTATTTTTGAATATGTTGTTATTTAAATACCTAACTCCTTTAATTCCTATGCTGTGCTATGAAAATTTATTATCTCACATTCATCACTTCATCATAATGTCGAGGAGTAGAAGGAATACTAATTTTCTTAAGGCTCATTTCTTGTTGATTGATTGCAAGCAAAATTGTATATTATGATGAATGAGAACTCCAACCTATTTTATACAAAAGAGCCATAAGAGCAAAAACATAATTACTGCAATCATTATTGATTATGATGTGAATTATGCGTATCTGAATTACAAGTTCAAGATCAAAGCAATCTGGTGCTTTATATATTTGAAAACTTCTAGTGTGAAACTTTTTGGCTATCTTTATCACTGCGATGGATCTAATGTTTATAGAGTCTTTCAACAATAACATAAAGTCGTAGTGGCATTTACAAGGAGTCAGCAATGAGATGCAGATAAAGAAGGATCGCTTAATTATTAGGATTTAAATCTCAGGATCCCGAAAACCTGGGTTGGGGTTTTTTTTTTGTTTGAATATTTAATTCGATTTTATTTATTATAATCTATATTATTTTTTTAACTTATAAACTTAATCTATATAATAAAGCTATTGAGATAACTTACTTATTACGGGTAATTACGAACCCGACTAAATGATGATGCATTAGATCACATTTGTTTTATAAAAAACCTTTTTTTCCAAAGTGATTTTTTTCACTTATACTTTTTATTTTTTAATATTCGGGTACTGGAGCTCCGTTCAGTATTTAAATTTCTACTGAATTCACTTAACTAAAGAACACGTCGTTTCAAAGACAAAAAACTTTCCTTTCTTACGAATTTTTCAAATTAAAAGTTCACTGTGATTTTTTTTTTAAATTAAACTTTGAATGAAAAAAATTTTTTAAAAATCGATACTATTCATTCATTCGCTTGCTTTATTCATTCAAACTTTTGCTGGAAAACAGCTGTTTTTGAAAAACAGTCTGTTTTTGGTTTTTGATTTTTAAAAACAGCTGTTTTCCTGTTTTTCTAGAATTCAAAATAAACTGAGTTATCCTAAGTGTTTCTCTAAGATAATGAAACTTTTTGGTGGTTATAAGCAGTTAAGCATACATTATAGAGCTAAGCATTAGGGCAAGATCAAAAAAAAAAGGAATTTTTTTCCCCTAATTTTTAACGTTAAAAATAAATTCAAAAAATATTTTCGAACTAGACTATAAATTTATTTCGAAAAATGGAAACACTAAATTTTATAACCAAGAAAAATAAGGCTTACTTTTGATTCAATAAATTTAAATAACAATGGATAAACAGGAACAAGCAAGACTTCGGAATATTAAATATAGAGAAAAGAAGAAAAACGATGAAATTTATAAACTAAAGAATAGAATCCGGAGATCAAGAAACTACAAAAAAGAATATGCTAAGAAAATTCAGGAACAGTTTAATTTAGAGGATGGATATCATTCAAGAAACTCAATGCTAAAAAAGGTTCGACAAATCAAAAATAATCTCCCTGAAAACGCAGTTAAAAAACAACAAATATTGAAGGAATTAACAAAAGATATCCCGGCAAAAAAGGAAATAAGGGTTCTTAAAAACGAATCTGAAGTCAACAAAACTATTCGTGATTTCTATTTAAGAGAAGATGTTTCTGTTATTCTTCCAGGAAAGAAGGACACGATTGCTGTAAAAGATAGGAATGGCCATAAAACGATCGAAAGGAAGCGAGTACTTGTTGACTCTAAGTCGAATTTGTTTAAAAGTTTTAAAAAAGAATATCCAGATATCAAAGTTGGTCAGACAAAGTTCTCAAGTTTAAATCCACCTTCTGTCTTGTCGTTCCTAAAAATGCCTGAATATTCGTGTTTGTGTAAATACCACGAAAATTTCAAAAAATTATTCATTTGCGCCAAACCATTTCTCAAAGATAGCACAATAGGATCTTACGAGCATTTTGTGGAAAGAGCTGTATGTTCGGTCGATAATTTTGATTGTATGATGAGCATTTGCAAAGGTTGTTGCAATTTCAAAGTAACAAATGAATTCCTTTTTCCTCGACGTATTAGATTGACATACTTTCAATGGGAGTTAATCGATGGACAATATAAGGAAATAAAACACAATCACACATCAAAAGAGTTTATGGAAAAAATTAAGGAAAATTTGTTTGAGTTCAAAAAACATTTCTATTCTGCAAAAATTCAAAGTCAAAAAATTACTTCAGACATAAGGACGTTCAATACAAATACAGTCAATTTGATTTTCGATTTTTCAGAAAATTTCTCCATCCAGAATCAAAACGAGATACAAGCAGCATACTACCAACGATCACAAGTCACTATTTTCACAGCAGTCGCTTACTTCAATAGTTATGATGAAGAAGAAAATGAAAAGAAACGTTCGATATCATATGCTATAATAAGTGACACTAAAAACCATGACAAATATACAGCATGCACGTTTATTGACTTTCTCATTGATTCTGTAATGAACGAACAAGATAATATTCACTTAGTTAACTTATGGTCTGATGGTGCACCCTCACATTTCAAAAGTAGATTTTCAGTATCAAATATGATAAGGCTAGAGAGCAAATACTCAACTAAACTTCGATGGAACTTTTCAGCCACATCTCACGGCAAGACACAAGCAGACGGCGTGGGAGGTACGATTAAAAATATGGTGGATAGGCGAATAAAAGCACAAAATTTAGTTATTTCAACACCATTTGCATTTTTCCAAGCAGCACAACAAATTTGTGAGAATATTTCTATCCATTACATAAGTAATTCTTTTATTTTGGAACAAAAAGCTCTGCTTGATGAATTTTGGACAAACTTAAAAAATATTAGGGATATTCGACAGTTTCATTGTTTCGAAGTGTTTAGTCACGATATGATTTCATCGTTCCATACTTCTCTCAAGAACAATCAAAAATTAAACAAAATGAAGTAAAAAAAAAATCTTGTTCATTTGATCCTCATAATTATTTTATTCATTTTGTAGAAGATTAAATTTTAGTACTCACCATACAACAAACACTTCAAAATTGTATTTCTATGCTTAAATAAAAATTGATCATAATATTTTAAAACTTACCTACATAGTCCATACCTTATTCAAATAAATAAATTAAAAGGAAATCCTTGAACGTTGATGCTATCATGTTTAAGAGTTGTCGATAACGGTCATAATTCACTTTCTGAGGACTTTTGCGTCGTTTAAACCTTTAGTGGATGGAAATGTTTCATTAAACAGTTTGTTTAATTTCAAGGAACTCCTCAAATGCAAAAATATCCATAAACATGACCAAAATGATCGTTTCTGATGTAGTTTAGACAAATTCCATAATTCCGTATGTCCAAAATCCTTAAAATAATGCAAAATAGATAAATAAATAGTTAAATATGCTTAAATAAAACTTGCAGAAGCTCGCTCGTAAATCCAGTGGTAGCTGTGTATGATTAATGGCTTTTAAAGTGTCTGCAGTCTAAAAATCTCTCATCTTGCTGTAATTTACTGATTTTTTGAAAATTCTATGTAAATCAGAACTGGACATTTCCTTGTAATGTATTTAAAGCTTTATAGTCAACAATCTCTTCATGTTCTGCATTACATCAATATTCCTATGACTCTGAAACGAAAAAAACATGAAGAACAGCAAGAATAAAGTTTTTTGTAAATATTTATGTTATTGGCACTTACCACTATGATTAATAATCAATTTTACTATTCAATTCACTCTAATAAGCTATGAATATTAGTATTTTATAATGCAACTTTAAAAAATGAAGAATTTTCCTTCAAAAATTTGTTTACATATAATTTTGAATATTCGAATTTTCGAAACTCATGTTTAAATTTTCGATATTCGTTACATTTACCGAAAATTTACTTTTTTCTAAGTTAAATAATTTAACTTTCCGCATGAATATTATTTTAAACATTTATGTCCAAGCATTTGTAATGGGTTTTTTTATAGATTAAACTTTCCTATGACATTTTTTTTCATAGAAAAACACAAGATTTGGAAAATAAATTTAAAATTCTATTTTAATTAAATTAGAGAATACCAGAGGTGAATCTACCTAATTAAGATGAAAGATAAAGAAGATTAGAACATTTCATAACAACCAATAATATAGTTTAACTCTTTCTTTGATGTTAAAAATGTGTGATGAAGTTTTAAATTGTTAATTAAAGTAACTTAGATAGTCGCTATTTTGAATATTTTGGACTTAGTTTTTCCTTTGCTGTTTAGGTAACTACTCTTTGAAAGAATTTTTAAGATTGATGGATTGGTTACAGAGATATTGCTTTTGCAACATAGTGCAAAATCGAATTTCCTTAAAATTGTTCGTGACGCTAAGTACTTTAAATCAATTTTTAACTATAGCATAACATCCAAGTGACACTTGCCATATACCAAAATGTAGGTCTTGGCGAGTCCTTTTAAAATAATATAAGTTGTTATAGTATTGCCTGAAAGAATGACTTCTAAATTATAAATTACTGCTAAGCGTCACGAACAATTCATTTTTGATCTTGCCCATTATTATTTCTTATTTTTTCGTTAATTAACTTTATAAAATATAATGAAATATAAAAATTCAAAAAAAATATTTATACTTTTAAGAAACATTGTATTGTTGCATTGCAAAAGTTCTATAAACTCTAATATTTTATTTGAAATATTCAAAAAAATCTTTCTAAATAAAAAAAATATCTTGTAAAATTGTTGATTATATTTTTGAACTTTAGTAAATGCTACAAAAGGTTCAACAAATTTAAAATTTCGATTGCAAAATTAGTAATGATTAATCATAAATTTGATAATGATTTCAACATATTAAACATCCAAAAATATTTAAAATAGTAAATACATTTTAATTTGGAATTCTAGAAAACTATATTAAGTTCTTCAAAAAATTAAGAAAATTTTTTTCTGTAAATTATATGTAAAAATGAAAAACAGAAAACAGATCTGTTTTTTAAAACCTGTTTTGTGTTAACAGATTTTTGTCGGAAAACAGCTGTTTTACTGTTTTCTGTTAGCAGGTTCCTCAAACCCTAAGCTCAGCTGATTCGCTAGCTTTATTCATTCAAACTTATGCTGAGCAAATCTTGGTCTATCCATAAGACTTTTGATGGTACGGTGTGAATATTTTGAAAATGCATTTTCTTTATTTTACAAATTGATTATTGAATGACAATATTAGTAATTATTTATTGCATGTATTGAAATATCCAAATGACATTATAAACTTTGAGAATTTTTAGATAAATTCACAATTGAAATGTGATATTTGAGCACAGTCGTAAGCAATAGCTACGAAATATCCACCTGGAAATTGTGTAAAAAGAGAACACTGTGGAAGAGGTATATTGGCTACACTGTCGGTATCCCAAACTAATCCATTGTAAACTGGAGTCGATGGATCTGAGTATAAGAACCAGTTTCCTGTGGTGTTTCGATATCCATTAAGGATAAAAGATGAATGAGAGTTTACACCATATGCTTCAGCAATAAAAACTTGATATTGACTAAATGTATCGTAGTCTGTCATTTTCATCAAAGTCATTGCGTTGTTCTGGCAGTAATTTAAAGCTTGAGCGGTATTGAAACTTTCTTTTACGTGACATATGGTTTTTAAGTATGCACCAGAAGAAGTGTTTATCCTATAGATGTGACTACAAACTGATGTATTAGGAGCCAAAGTTGTCGTTGTTGGAATGGGTGTCGTTGTAGTAGGTTTTGGAGTTGTGACTTCGTGGCATTTGTGTTTTTGATGTCTTTGTCTGCGTTTATTGGATTCACTTCGTCGTCCTCTACTTGGCGTTGCCTCAATCAATAAAACTAAGTTTTTAATATTTTAATATTATAAAAATTAATATGAATTAATATTTTAGCTATGAGTATACTTACTGCTGAGAATAAAAGCCAACAAAAATATCTTTAAATTCATTTTCTTTTAATTGGTTTTAGTTCAACTATTTGGAATCAAATATAAAACTGATATCGATTGAATAAAAATGATCTTCTTTTATACAAATTTTAATTTGAAGATTCGTGTACGTATATGAATCTATTACTCTATATTAAGATGTAAATTTATTAATGTGAGGTATCTGATGGTGAAATTCAGATAAAAACATATTTTTGCGTTTTAATATTAATATTAATTGATTATTATAGCCATGATTATCCCAAAAGAAATCCAGCATATTTCATAAAAACTTTCACGTATTGCAATCGATTGACAGTGATTTGCTCATTGTGTTCTTCTTAGCCGATTAACTAATCCCGAGGAAACAACTAGAAGAGTTATCTACGACTTATGATTCTTTTACCCAGACAAATCGACTAATTGTCAGCTCGGGAGCCACACAGAGTTCTGAGCTCATTTTGGTTTGATTTTGATAATGAGCAAATAATGCAGGTAAAGCATGGAGAGGGCCCCGACTTTTTTTTTTTTTGATCTGGATGCACTGCGTTTCAAATTAGAACAGAATCTATTGTAACACATACAGTTTATAGTGAAATCCGAACCACTTGCAAGCTCTGAACATTGCAAAGACACGAGTAGGTCTAAACCGAGCTTGGTAACTAGAACGGTGAAATGGAAAAAGAGCTTCTAAAACTTGTCTTAGCCTGGGATTAAACCCAGAACATTTGACACGTAAGGCCAATGTTCTACCACTAAGGCCACTGATGCCATTTCACTGCTGGCAAAGTACGAAAGTCAATGATAACATTTTTTATTATTACATAATCTTAGATCTTATTCCTATTAAATTTGATTACAAAACGGTTCCTAGCAGAAATAGTTCATTTTTTTACAATTTTTTTATATTACAAAGCTAGACAAGAAAACAAAAAAATTTCTTGAAACTGAAAAAAAAAATCATTAATTTCGTTTTTATAAAATAATTTCAAAATTTACTTTCATGCAAAGTTTAAAATTATAATTATATTCAAGATCTTATTTGTCAACTGAATAAATATTTTTCACGATATTCAATTGACGTCAATGGAAAAAAAATATGTTTTCTGAGTAAAGATGTTCTATAATTTCACCGAAAAAGAAACACAATTATTTTAATACAATACTTTGTGTTGCAAAAACTATAACTTGTTTAAAACTTAATGTTTTCAAGACTGTTTTAATCAATTTTATGTCTTATCGTAGATTGGAACGGAGCGTTGGGTACTTTTGCTTGGTGATATTCCTAAATTTGTGGATTATTAACTTCACTTTTTAACACATTTTTCTTAGGAAACAATGCACTTATAGGTCCAAGGCTGGTTGGCTGGTTGCCTCAAAAACTCGAAATTGGAAGCACTTAGAGACTTCTAGTTTTTTGTATTCGATAGCTGATAAATTTATGATAATTTTGTCGTCCACATATTTATTTTTATATTCACACCAAGAAATCTCAATAACGAGATTTTAGGCATAGACTATCGTCTACCTCCCCAAGCATATTGCTTGTCTTACTAATTCCTTGAAATTTGCTGTTTCATTTGTAAAGTAACAATTTTAATTATTCTAATGGAAAAGAAGGATGATTGCACAATGCATTGTGCATCAGTCAGTACAATTTTAGTAAAAACTTGAAACAATGAAAAGTTATTTCCACAACTTCATCATCTATTTACAAAACATTTCTACCATTAAAATTCTGCTGATTCTATTATGATGGATCGAATTCAATTCACATTAGAGACACAAATAATGGAAATAAAAGCAACAAAGCAGCACTAGAATGTACCAAATTCATTTTAGCAAAGCATATTCAATTTTATTTTCATTTTTAGCTATAATATACATTATACTTGGAGAACTAGAACCAAAAATAACAACATCGTTTCTCCTGCGGCATGGAAGGCATAAGCTTTATATCTTTAAGCAACTCTATCTTTCAATTATTATTTGGAACAACTTCTATTTCGGAGGGAATTGAAACAATGTTTTCGAATAATTGAGATATATAATAGACTTTCTGAGCAGTTAATGAGATATTTTCCAATTAATTATTAATGTCTGTCCAATTAGGAGCACAATGAGCTGAATATTAAAATCAATCATCGACAGCATAAGAAAGTTTTACTATGCACAATTGTCGTTATTTCTTTATGGATAATTTTGAAGCTCATCAGCAGCTTTCTGGATCTTCAATCACCAAAAGAACGCGATATAATTCATCTGATTGGATTATCAAGTTATACGTTGTGCACAGACATAACAGCTATAATTTTTATTTTCCATTTCATTTTTTTCTTATACAAAATCTTTTAATTCGACTCGAAATGTTCCATCAAAGATTCTATATATGCAGAAATGATATTAAGGAACTGGATTGACGATTGTAATCAAATAAGAACTCTCGAAGTTTACAGCATTCTCTTTCGTTTTTTCATCTCCTTAATTGGTCTTATCAATTTAGTATTTTGCCTGCTGGTAATTGATCAATTTGGAACTTTTTTGTAGTTGAATCGGAATTGTCATTGGAACTATGGGGTTGTTCAAAAGTGATGTCTATCTAGAAAATTGTTTGTTGTCATTCAGTTTTAGTCTAGGGTCTGATTTCTTAAGTTATATCATAGCAGTGGAATACTCGAGAAATCAAAAACCAGTTGTTCTTAAACTATGAGCTTCGACACAAATTTGCTATGAAAATACAAGAAGCCACTGTGGCGTGAAAGATTTACTGGTCCGTTGCTTGAAAAGTTTGAGAAACACTGTCCTTAGCCATGGTTTCTAGGTTGACGTTTCCATTTTTTTCCTACTCATGATCATTAGCCGTCAAAAATGGACAACTCCTTAACTTTACAGCATAATCATTTAGATGATTTTCACATTATTCTTCACTGTCGTCTTTTCATTCTCAATGGTTCGAGCAACACTAATGTTTGTTGGCACCTTAGATCAAGCAATAAACAGAATTACTCACATATTCTGGACATCAATATTAATAACACCATCATTGTATGCCTCCGTAATTTCATCAAGGATAAAAGAGATTGTAAGGATAACACAACTTTCTGCGAGAATAATTAAATTAATATTTTTATCAAGCATAAAGCACTTAGAAAAGCAGCTTTACAAGCAATGATGATTAATGTGCAAAGGCATGAATCCTATGAAAGGGTAACAAAATTTTTAATTACATTATCTTTGAGGATATAACACATTCACATATATCTTCTGTTTTTTATTCTCATAGTTTCTCATATTCCTTTTCAGTCCAATCCACTTCGTTTGTCAGCGACAATATTCAACTATGACTGGAACACTGGATTCTCAGTTGAGGATAAGCATTAATTATTATAATGAGTAAGTGCTTTAGAAAGTCTATTAAAAAATTATGGAATGCTTGATGTTTAATAGCAGAGTAGTAAGCAAGTGACTGGGTGTCAGTCATTTTGAATCAAAAGAAATTAAAAACAATACACTAAAGTGGAGAGTACCCCGGAAAGCGTTAGAAGCTGTCTCCTGATCTCAACCCAGCATTGAACTAGCTTTATTTAATTCAGCACTTAGAATCCTTTTTTAATCTTTCATCAGGTCTTTACATTTTCTGCTTCATCTTGTTCATTTTATTGGAATTTGACTCGCCTGTCGCTGTTCCTACACGAGCATAAGCTGTTCTAGTCGTCCATCATAATCTCAAAATTAAAGTAATGATTCAAATACTTTAATTGATGTTCATGCACTTGCGAATCACAATTTTACAATTAAAAGGAATCACTAGCTTGCTGCCAGTATGAACAACTTATTTGAGTCATGTCATCAATTGTCCTTAGCATTAAAACTTTTTAGATTTGCACCTTACAAAATTAATCAAAACATTGCAGCAGCATCCAATACCATTTCCTACACAACATCATTCCTAATACTTTACATTCTTGTCTTTACTGTGGCTACGTAGCAGAAATTTACTAGTAATTTCCTAGTAATTTACTGGATAACTTTCCATTTGCTACTTGCTATTTACTAGTCAAAATCCAAGTTCAAATCATCGCCAAAGACCCGCATTTTCACTTGCTAATTGACTAGTCAATTCGCTTACAATTTAACTAGTAATTTACTAGCAAATTTTTAAAAAAATTAAATGAATATAACCGTTGATTTCCACGTGTTCTCTTTTTTTTTTATTTGTGTAAATTTTTGTAAAAGTATTAGTGTGTACTTAATTAAAGTTAATTAAAGTACACTAACACTATGAAAAAAAAGGACTTAATTTAATTAAGTCGAATACTGATGAACACCCATGACTCGCACGTAAACCTGAGGAAGATAAATAATTATTTGAAAGTCGCATACAAATTTGGATCGATCTTATAAAGGTGATTTCTGCACGCTCTTGTGAAGTATATGGCAAATGCCAAATTTAGAACAAAATTTTTTATGACGCAAAAAATTCTTTTTTTGATGATTTTTCTTAGGATTCGAACTTAAGAAGATTTGATCAAACATTTTACATGGTAATTTGCTAGTAATTTGCTAGTAAATAGCGAGTGTAAATTTCTAACAGTAAGTTGTTTTAATAATTACTAGTAAATTGCAAGTAGTAAAATAGAAAGACTAGCAATTTGCTAGTTAGTCTCGCTAGGGTACATTTATGGGAAAATCTTAAAACGACACAAACGATTCATTACTGATACTTTATGGACCTTATCTACTGTATTTATTGCATATTTTAAACACGACATTCACAGTGGTTTTCAATTATCTTAAAAGAAAGGAAATTGTCAGATGCGTGCATGTAATACATCAGTTTGATTGCATGTTTCTGCAAGTAGGACATGAGAAAGGAAGAATGTAGAACAACGATGTAATATAATGATAATAGAAATCGTAATTCTCATTTTCCTTCTATACTTATTTTTATTCCTTTTCCTATTAGCATGATTTTGATGAAGTGAGTTACACTTCGAGAATTGCTGAATGACTGCTTAATGCAAGGGGGAAACACTAATGTGAATTCA